GGCGGGCACGGCGTCGGGGCCCGCGCCCTCCTGGTGCGGGCAGGGCGCCGGCCTCCCCCTGCTTCCCGAACCCACGCTCACCCTCCCCGGCTGCAGGAGACCGACCGGCTGCCGCGCTCGGCTCCCACCCCCTCTCCAGCTGCCCGTCCCACCGGCCTCCTAGCACGGCCCCCCGGGGGCGGCGGGGCCTGAGCCCCCTTGCAGAGCTGGGCGAACTGAGCCCGAGACGCCCTGGATGCTCACACAGGCTGGAGGGCGGGATCTTCCAGCGCTTCGCGTAGGCTCGGGGCGCTCCGGTTTCCCCCCAGATCCAACCTGGCCTAGGGCTTTAGGTGGAGGAATCCCCGAGCACAGCCCCCTGCACTTAGGGGCTTCACAGATGGACTTCGAGGGTCTGACAGCGCCCCCTTCTTCCCCCGGAATAGAAGACAAAATCACCTACATACATTTTTTTTTTCCTTGGGAGAGTATTCATGGCTTTCGTTAGAACCTCAAGAGGGTAAGCACTTTAGACAGAGAACCTTAGAAACCTCCCATCTTCACTCTAAGCTCCGCCTGAGAGCTGGTCTTCACCTGCCGCATCTCATCTGAGCGCTGGACAGGTGTAGGAAGGAGGAAGATGTAGACTCCATCTCTCTCCTTCTTCCTGGTGGGGAGGGGGGAGGGGGAGGCGGGATGGAAAGGGCAGCGATCTGGAGGAATCCCAGAAGGAATGCCGAAATAGTTCTCTAGGGGGGTAAAAAAGAGTTCTGAGGAAAATTCCTTTTTTTTTCCCTGGAAAAACCCGGGTGGGGTTGCGGGGTGAGAGGTTTAGTCTCCAGACTGGTAGTTCTTGGAGGAGCCTGCGGTTGGCACAGCCTGTCCCTCCGCCCAGGTGACCATGGACCTGGTGAGTCCTGTGTGGCCCAGCTTCTGAGGGAGCCAGGGCTCCTGCATTGGTCCCTGGAGGCTGAGCAGTAAGTTCCAGCGTGTCACCTCTGCTCAGGTGTTCTAGCAGGGGCAGGAGCCATGACATCATGGCCACTGGCCCTCTGGGGGGACCAGAGCTGAAGGGGCTGAGGAGGTAGGAGGGTGGGTGCTCTCATGACAACTCGGCATGAGGACAGGTAACCAACTTCTCTTGCAGGTACTGGATGCATCTGCTCCATCCCCCCTAGACTCTGGGCACCTGGGAGCAGAGTCGCATGGGGTCTCTCTGGCTCAGTGGGTTGGAAGGTAATAACAATGACTTATTCAATGGTGCTAATGGTGAGTCTGCAGAGTACTTGTGATTCAGTAACAAGTTATCTTCTGGAAAACAAAAACAAAAACAAATCATAAGGACAAGCGTTTGATTGGATCCTCTCTGCCAATCTTACAGACTTCTAGAACCATAGAAGCTGAAAGTTGGAAAGAACAATCTCCAACTCGAGTACCCTATTCCTGCCCCATAATTGCTGATAAATGCTTGTCAGTCCTGTTCTTGACTGATACCTCTTACTGTTGGGGACCTTACCTATCATTTCCTGTGGGTTTGCTTCCAATGTGAGTCAGCTCCAGTTGTAAGGAAGGGTTTCGAGCTCAACTGAAATGCCCCTCCCTGTGGCTCCCCACAGCCACCCGCAGGACAAGGCTGATTGCTCTGGGCATGTTAGTCCTTCAGGCACATGACCTTGCCCCAGCACTTGGCTTCTTCAGCCCAAACGCCTGAAATTCTTTCATGATTTCCTTAGATTGTACTCCCTAGATAGATCACCCTACTGGTTCAGCTCCTCCAGCCACAATGGCAGGGACCCTCGTACAGTGAGGCATCCCACAGTGTCTGGGGTGCTAGAAGCATTCTGTAGCTTGATCTGGGTGCTGGTTACACAGCTATGAGCATATGTAGAAATTCATTTACGTACAAACATATGTACGCTTAGGATTTGTGTCTTATAAGCAAGTCATGGTTTGATAAATGAGTGGCAAGTAAAAATAAGTAGACAAAAACAAAGTGAGACCCTCTACTGTGAACACAATACCCAGCCTCCTTAGAGTCAAAGCCTTCCTTCCTTTCTTGCCTGCTTTCTGGCATGCAGGGCCCTTGTGCTGGGTCAAGCAGGCAGGGAAATAAGTGCAGCAATGCGGTTCTTTCTGTCATGGGGATGCTTTCAGAGCCTGTAGCGGGGAGCATCTCGTTTTGCCTGGGAAGCCTTCTTTACTGGACTGGGTGCGGAAGGATGAGTATGGGAAAATGTTTCGTTTATTCTCTCTTATTCTTCTTTGTCTCCTCTATTTTCCAGTATCATCACCTTCAGGAAACTTTTCTGGAAAAATCCTATCCGACCCGCAAATACCAGCAAACCCCTGATCCACTCCTTACCCCCTACAATCCTCAGTGTCAGCTGTTATATCCAGGGACGGCCAGCTTCCTCCTCCTGCCACCCTGCCTCCCCCGCAGTCTGGTTAAATGGTGAGTTCTTAAGGGCTGGGACTATATTTACCATATTATATTATATTTACCAACTCTCCCCACCCCCATCCAGGTGCCTCACAGAATACCTTGCAGATAACGAGTCCTGGATAAATAGCTGGGCAATGGATTATTTGCACATTGCCTTTATAATTATTTTTGGTTTTTCTTTTATATATCTTATCTCCCAATGATAACAAGTTCCCCGAGGAAATAGAGGCTGTCCTCTATTTCTTCTGTGTCGAGTATCCAAATGTCTAGCCCTCGCTGGGCACCCTGTGGTCATTCTTCAGTTTTAACGACAAAACCTTGGATGGTCCTTTAGCCACTCTCAGATTTCCTTCTGTGTACATTGGTAGGAAATTATCCCTGTCCCTCACTAGCCCTGGAAAGCAGTGGGGAGACCCGAAAATAAGGAAAGACAGACTAGATTGGCAGGGAAGATCTATGGGAGTGAAGAAGGGTCCTCAGGCTCTTGCTGACTGAAATCTGTTTATTTGCCTCAAGGGTCGCCTCCTCTGGGAAGCTTCCCCTGACCTTGCTAGGGTCCCTCCTTGGGGCCCCATCCGAAATCATTGCTAATCATCTGTGTACTGCCTCTCCTCCAAGGAAGGGCCATGGGCTTGGTTCTTCACTGAGTGCCAGGACTGGCTCCTTGCTGAGGGCCGTTTGCACCCTACTGACTCCTGCTTACACCTGGAAGTGAGAGAAATCCATAAATGGCCCATCTTGGACCATCGATGGGTGGCCTACATCCTGGAAATACTTGAGGAGCAAGCAAACCAGATCTAACAGCGAGTGAAGTAAGAGCCAAGTAACCCCGCCACCATCCTTTTACATATGCATCCGAGCTGCCCAAACTCCTTAGTGCACAGAATCACGGGTACACTTTCTCTTCATTCCTATTTCTTTTTTTTTTTATTTAAAGATTTTATTTATTTATTTGAGAGAGAGAGAATGAGAGAGAGCACATGAGAGGGGGGAGGGTCAGAGGGAGAAGCAGACTCCCCGCCGAGCAGGGAGCCCGATGCGGGACTCGATCCCGGGACTCCAGGATCATGACCTGAACCGAAGGCAGTCGCTTAACCAACTGAGCCACCCAGGCGCCCCTCTTCATTCCTATTTCTGTTAGAATTGAAAACCTTCGATATTAAAACATGGACAAAAAAAAAAAAAAATTTGGATGATCACAGCCTAGAGGGGGTCACCTGGACTTGGGCCTGATTTCATGTTTGGCAGAATCCTCTCAGTGACCGTGGGCCTGCTTTGGGTCCCCAGGACCCTCTGGTCTCTGCTTCTCAGACTTTGAGGAAGCCAGGCAGGAACAGTAGAAGCAGTCTCCAGTTCAAGGTCATGAAGCACATCTGCAGTTCCTCTGGCCATTCTGGGGAATGAGGCCGCCGCTCCCCTACCTCTGGGTTTTATCTTCACAGCCCCCACATCATCGCCTTCCTAGCCAGAGTGTGCAGAGTGGACTGGCAGGCTCGGTCTGAGGTCAGCATGGGGTGAGTGGCAGACAGCTTGGTGCCAAGGACTGTACCCACGTGACCCGGCCACCCTACCCCACATGAATGCCAACGGCGGAGATGGGTATGTGTACAAAAAGTCTCCTTCGCCAACTATCTGGATGAACCGCGTTATCAGCCTGCGTGGGTGGGGGGTGGTTACTGCAGGTGCCAAGAGGGACGGGAGAGACAGGAGCAGGTGAGATGGCCCAGAAGCATCTTAAGAGTTAGGTCAGTGGCCACATGCATCCTGGAGAGAATACTGCATAATGCCTGACACTTAGCTGGTGCTGAATACGTATTAGAGCTTAACAGTGCTAGTTGAAGCTAGTCTAACTGTGAGGGTTGGAAGGACCCTCTGCAATTATCCTTTCCCTCAGAAACCGAATCCCATTTACAGCGCTGCCCAGGGAGCCACTCGGCCTCACCTTCAGCATGCCCGGGCTTGGAGTCAAGCTGTGAGATGTGTGCACAACTGAGCCTTGGTTTCCTCCTCTCTAAAATGGGGAGAATCAGGGCATCTGGCTGGCCCAGTCACTAGAGCATGAGACTCTTGATCTCGGGGTTGTGCATTCAAGCCCCACGTGGGGAATAGAGCTTACTTAAAATAAAAAGAAAATGGGGAGAATAATACCTCCCTTACTGTGAGAAAATGTAGACAGGGTGTAATACAGAAGCTGGTACACCAGGTTCTCAATAAAATTCTCCTCCTCCTCCTCCTTCTTCACGACAACAGCACAAATTGCTCTCCTGGTTTATACACTGGTACGGCGGCTAGCAAAGTATGTCCCTGGACCAGCAACATCAGGATGTCCTGGGAACTTGTTAGAAATGAAGATTCTCGGGGCGCCTCCAACTCTTGAGTTTGACTCAGGTCATGATCTCAGAGTCATGAAATCGAGCCCTGCCTCAGGCTCTGTGCTGATTTTCTCTCTCTCTCTCTCTCTTTCCCTCTCCCTCTGCCCCTCCCCCCACCCCTCACTCCTGCCCGCACTCTCTCTAAAAAGAAAGAAAGAAAGATTCTCTAGGGGTGCCTGGCTGGCTCAGTCAGTAGAGCACGTGACTTGATCTTGGGGTTGTAAGTTAGAGCCCTACGTTGGGTGCGAAATTACTTAAAAATAAAATTAAAAAAAAAGAAAGAAACGCAGATTCTCAGTTCTGCCCCAGACCTGCTGGATCGGAAATTCTGGGGGTGCGGCTCAATAATCTTTGGTAAGCCCTCCAGGGTACTGAGCTGCAGCTACAGTTTGCAAATGACTGCTTTAGAGCCACAAAGGAAAAGTCTAATTCCCATTCTACAGAGAGCCATTCACTATTTGAAGACATTTTTCATGTTCTTCCTTGACAAGTTTCATTGTCCCCAGCAACATCCTCTCCACTTCCTTCAGCCATCCTTCATTGGCCATGTATTCCAGACCCCTTGCCATGCTTTTCTCCATTCATGTCATGCTCTGACTGTTAGTGACCTTCATAAAAATGGGGTCTCCCCGCACTACACTCAATGCTCCCGAGTGGTCTAAGCAGCACCGAATTTTCTAGAATGCCTCCTCTTTTCTAGAAATTTTGACAGCTTTTTATTGAGTGCCCACTCTGTGCTAAGCACATGACCTACAATAACTTTTTGTTTATATTTTTTGAAGTAAGTTCTGTGCCCAACATGGGGCTCGAACTCACGACCCTGAGATCAAGAGTCACATGCTCTACCAACTAAGCCAGGCACCCCTTGTTTACCTTTTTTTTATTGGGGTTAAACTTACATAGATTAAAATGCACAAGTCTTTTTTTTTTTTTTAAAGATTTTTTATTTATTTATTTGACAGAGAGAGACACAGCGAGAGAGGGAACACAAGCAGGGGGAGTGGGAGAGGGAGAAGCAGGCTTCCCGCGGAGCAGGGAGCCCGATGCGGGGCACGATCCCAGGACCCTGGGATCATGACCTGAGCCGAAGGCAGACGCTTAACGACTGAGCCACCCAGGCGCCCCAAAATGCACAAGTCTTAAGTGAACAACTTGAATTTTTATATGTGTACATACCCAGGTGACCACCACCCAGATCAAGATACAGAATATTTCCAGCACCCACCCCGGAAATGGTAGTGTGCTTGTTTAATATTATGTCTGTGAGAACATAAGTTCATAATTCTTCATTGCTATGCAGTATGCCACCGTATACATACACACAATTTATTTGCATGCAATTTTATTGCATACAAATTTATACACACACAATTTATTTAGCCCATCTGCTATTGATGGACATTCAGGTTGTTTCCAGTTTGGAGCTATTATAAATAAAGCTGGTTTGGACATTCATGTACTTGTCTTTTGGGGGACATAAGCATTCATTCTATTGAGGATATGCCCAAAAGTGAAGTTGCGAGGCCATAGGATTGGTTTAGCTTTAGGAGATGTTGCCAAACAGTTATCCAAAGGGATTGTATCAGCATAGCCTCCTCCAGAGTTCCAGTTGCTCCGCATCCTTGTCACCAGTCATGTTCATTTTAACCCTCATGTTGGGAGGACACTAGTTTCTTAGGGGTTTTCATCTGCGTTTCTCTAGTAACAGATACTGTTCAGTATTTTTTTAATGTACTTATTGGCCACTTGTTCAACTTCTTTTGTGAAACGCCCCTTCAAGTTTTCTACCTACTTTTTTTTTTTAAAGATTTATTTATTTATTTTAGAGAAAGAGTGAGAGAGCTCTCGGGTGGGGAGGGTCAAAGTGAGAGGGGGAGAGAGAG